TCCCCCAATATTTTTCCTCATTTTTCAAAAAAAAAATTTTTTTTCATTGCTTTTGGATAATATTTTTGTTTGTTTTTGTTTTTTGTTGCAATAGAGATTATTTTTTATTTTTCTACAAAATCAAGTTCTAGCGCAATATAACCCTCACACAAATCCCACGTTGCAACGACTGACTGATAATGTTCATAAAATTTAAAATATTCCGTCATAAATAATTTTTAATGCCTTCCGTTTATAATCTTCTATAGCCCTAAATATTTATTTTTTTTTGTTTTTATGGCCTAATTTTGTTATTAAATACATATATTTATATTTTGTTTTTGATTGTTTTTACTGATTTTTAGAGACCTCTCTAGTAGGAAAATCATCAAGCCCGGAGAGACCTCTTGTCGAAGAGGCCTCTCTTGTCTTAAAGGTCTCCCTCACTAGTCGTTCTGATTAGTGAGAGAGACCTTTAAGACAAGAGAGGACCTCTCTAGTAGAGACCATTGCTGGGTATGGCTCCGGGAGCTAGCTCCGGAGCCTGAGAGAAGATTTGGAAAACCCCGGAGCGGAGTTGGAGCCAACAAATGGCAAATACCAGCACTGGAAGAGACCTCTTTGCAGGAGCGGTCTCTACTAGAAGGAGACCGCTCCTGCAAAGATACATTTCTGATACTCACCTCTGATACATACACCTCAATTTAAGATATGTTCCCTAAAATTTGGCTAAATATTGAACAGGGGAGCTTACTAAGTTACCTAACTCCCTAAGCTTCCTCATTATAAAATATACACAATTTTTAGCCCTGATCTTATAATTACATATGTACATATGATTTTATTAGAGGGAAAGGAGCTTTTTTAGCCCTGATTTTTAGCCCTGATCTTATTTTTAGCCCTGATAAAGTAAAATTTTATTATTTATTTTTTAAATATTTTTATTTCAGACTTTTATCTTTTAAGTAGCCTTTAAATTTAAAAAGTGTACATTGCTCCCTTAAAAATTTTTTTCATTTTTATTTATTATAGTTGCTATTAATATTATACTGCTACTACAAATGCCATTTCCTGCGCATTCCTTTCTAAATATTTTTTATTATTATTTTTCTTTAAGTAATTTATTTAGGTAAGCATTTAAGCTTGTCTCGATTTAAAAAAAATTTTTATGGTATCTGGGATTAATATATAAAAAAGTTTACTGGATCTAATTACCATGGGATAAGGGGAAATGAGGGAGGTGCCGAAAATCGGATCTATCAGAAATCAGAAGGGTAAATGACAGAAATCGTAAGTCAGAACTGAGACATCCAACCGACCTCTGCATGGGATTAATTCAATAAAATTTCGAAAATTCTAAAGCAATGGGAGATAGCAGAACGAGAGCTTACAAGTCCCATTCAACGAGGGACTACATGTCCCAAGCCCCAAACCCTGGAAGTCTCTACTCAAAATAAAGGCCCTCGTATATAACGGCACATTTATGTTCACCTGGTCAATTAATTAATTCAAAAAATAATTATAAATTTTAAAAAAATTTCTAAACTTCTTTAATGAATTAATTTTTTTCCTCTCCTAAATTTAATCTCCCCCTCTCTCCTTTCTATTTTTCAAATACCTCACTTTGGCCTTTCCTCGAGAATAAAAAAATTCTCTCATTCTTCCTTATTTCCTCTTATTGCCAGTCTAAAAAGCCTCTAGCTGTCCCGACGTTGAAAAAAAGCTTTTTCTTGTTTGTCAGTGTCCGGTTGCTTTGGACTCTGGCCGGCGGTTGTGCGACTGGCCTTTTTTTATTTTTCTTCTTTTTTCTTCTTTTTTTTTCTTCCTTTTTCGCTTCACATTTTCAATTTCCTCCATTGCCAATTTTTATCTCTCTTTCTAGCTCCTCTCTCGTTCCATTGCCCATATTTGGCTTTTAGGGGGGAATTGGCTCGATGGCGACCATCTCAACGACCATTCCCTCTACTTTTTTAATACACGTCCACGCACACACGGGAATGCAAAAAACGGAGGAGAATGGGAAGGGAATGCTCTGGCCAGTCATCTAAACACAAAAAAAACGTCCGGCTGGCCATATAGGACAGTTTAAACGAAAAATGTTTTTGGGGGATGGGAAGTTTTTCTCTCAAAACTGTCATCCAACACCCTTTACTTCCCTCCACACCTCCCCTTCCATTTTCGGAAATTAAAACTCTTCTCCTAAAAATCGCCATTAAATCGCCCTCTCCATTGGCTTCACACATTCATTATTTGTCCACACATTTTTGCTGCTAAATTGGGGGCTTTTATCATATTTAGGGTGAATCGTTTTTAATTTATTATGAGTCATTGAATCAAATGATCAAAACATAGGAGATTAATTAATTTACATTTGAATCTGTTCTAGTCCTGCCTTTAGGGATCGATTAATATATAGTCTTGGGAACATATCCGGATAGTTCTATAGTTCGAGTCGGCTGTCTATGACACCAACACCTAGCTATAACACCTAGACGTCGGTTTACCGGCTCCACAAGCTGTTCTCTAATAACACACTTCAAGTAGCTTATAGATGGAATGTCTACTGGTCTTGACATGAGCCTTTATTTGGTCCAGGTCCAGTCTTGATTTTCATTCCAGAATTTTGGAAATTTTTGATCTTGATCAGCTTTCTCATTTCTCTTTATCCACTTTATTCATAAGCCTTTTACTTTCTTGATTCTAATAATCAAAAATTTAAACACAAAATATATCTTCTCTTATATCTTAAAATCTAAAAGTTTTTTGGTTCATTTTCACCTCTCTAGGGTCGAAAAAACGTTAAAAAATATTGCCATGACATTCTTTTTTTAGTTTTTTCTTCTTTTTACTTCTTTTATCTCTCGTTTTTTGCCTATTTCCACTCATGACCAGCACAGCTGCCCATCTCGAGAATTGCGACTTGCCAGCGCCTCAAAGTCCGTGAATGAGGGTATAGGGGCTAGGCCATTTAGCCGGGCAAAAAATGTTAAAAGAACGATGGGGCATGCCTACAAGTGTTAGTTAGGATAAAAATAGAGTGATACTAGAGCTGAGGGCATTAACGATGATTGTTTGTGGACAGAGGCTCTATGGGCAGCGGTGGGCGTTCTCTTATAACAAGAATGTGAAGGCTTGCTAGTTAAAGTTTTATTGAAGGTTAGCCTTCTAAATCCATTTGGGCCTCATTATAAGATAACATTTGGGGTTAAAAATTGTATCTTATAATGAGGTGTTTCTTAAATAGAGGGCGTCGCTTAGACAGCTCTCCTATTGGGTGATTGACCAAATTTTAAGGGATTTATCTTAAACTGTGATGTATCTAGAGATTATAGAGAGGTCCTTCTAGAGACTTCTAAGAGAGTCTCTCAAACTAGGTGGATCCCTACAAATCATTAAAAATAATTAAAGAAATCTTCTAAGGAAAAGTACGCCATTCATAACCTTATTGAAAAGATTATTTTTAAATAATTTAAAGAGTTAATAGATCTAAGATTATTTAGAAAAAAGTTGCTTGATTAAAAAATTTTTTCGATAAATTGCTAAAACATCATTCTCATTTACATATCTATTTATTAGAAATCTTGGAGGTACATTTGGGTGTACCGTCTCCAACAGGCTAGATCAGTTTTGATCCAAACGGAATACAGACCAGGGGCCTATGCAAAATGTATGAAGTTCCTGATATATATCTGTGACTAGAGTCCGACATTTAACCCACTAACTGACCATCATTGACCAAATGTCGGACTCTAGTCACAGATATGACACGTCATATCAGGAACTTCATACATTTTGCATAGGCCCCAGCTTATTCAAAATAATTTTTAGAGAGCATTTTCTCCCTATTCAAAAATAAAGAAATTATTACAACAACAACGCATAAAACCTAATAGTAAATATTGATAAAAGAATTTAATTAAAATTTTGTATATTGAGTATATTTAATTAAAATTTTGTAATAAAATTTTGTAAAATTTGTATATTGAGCGTTCCGCCTTCCGCGTTCCGCCTTTTTTGAGCCTTCCGCTTTTAAATTTTATTCCGCATTCTTCCGCTTCCGCTTTCTAAAATTCAAAATTCTACAGCCCTGATATATACTGTGGTCAATGACTTCTATCTATCTTTTAAGTTTGATCTATTAAAACCTCACAAATCTTATCAAACGTGTTTGTTTACATTTTTTAAATATTATTTACTGTTTATCAAAAAATAATTTTTTAAAAATTATTTTTTGTTTCACTCCCTTTGCAGCTGCCCCTACTTGTCTTTTTTTACCTTAACTCATTACTGCCCATTTATTTATTATTTTTCATTTTCAGCTGTTTAAATAATCTCACCTATATTATTTTTCTTTATATTTTATTTCTTATCAAAGTGACCATTCTTTGTTCCAAAGTAATTTAAAAAATTGGGCGTTAATTGTTTTTTAATGGTACATAAAATAGACTGTCAACTTTGAAATTCGGAAATTCTGATTTTTAGCTTATATTCTGATAGCTCAAAGTGTTGGGTATTAGACGTTTTGTTGCTCCGATTCCTGTTTTGACCTTTTTAAAATCTTTGTTCAGACCAGAGATTCCGATTTCCGACTTCCAAAAAATTCTGTTTCCGATTTCCGACATTTGAGCCAGTTCCGATTTCCGGCTCTTTCGATTTCCGACACCTTTGACTGTTCCGACTCACCTCTGGTTCAGGCTATGGCCACAGCCGGTCTTCACGCATGGCCATAGCCAGCTCCATGAACCACTTACAGCACTGAATAATATTAAACCAGAATTATATTAATATGTTACTTCCCCATCTACTTATTTTCTCTTCAATATTTTCTCGCTTCACAAAAATTTAACAATTCATGCTTCGGATAGTTCCACGTTTCCACCTTGATGCTGTAATAGAAAATGTATTCCTGTAACCGCTTCAAGGAACCGAGAAAACACTATCGCCCCTTTACCTTATAAAAACTATCTCCTTTTTAATATTTCAAAATAAAAATTAAAAAATTTTAAAGTTGCCTGAGAAGGTTTGTGGATGGAAGAAGAGAGCACTTCTGATGACCCTCTAACTCTAATTAAGCCAACAACTTCATTCAATTCCTTCCCCCAAAAATTGTCTTCTTCCCCCTTATCAGAAAATACACCAGACTTTAATAATTTGATTGACGAATTTGTTGATTTAAGCGAGTGGGGTGCTTTGAGTGATGGAGATTTGTGCATGAGCAGGCAACTGGCTGCTACAATAGGGATACCCGAAGGAGGAGATGTGAGGGAGGAGGAGGAAGCTAATTTAGGAAGAAAAGAAGAGGAGATGAATACTGAGGAGAAAAAAGGAGAAAATGAAGGAATGGAGGAAATTGAGGAGGAAGATGAGTTTGAGGAGGAGGAGGTTGAATTTAGTGAGATTAATCAGGTTGTCGAGCCTAATGGAAATTTAAACAATTCTGTGGGTGAATGGCACCAGTTTACTGAACAAAACATTAAATACGAGAACAACAATAATATTAATGGGAATTATTTAAATAATGGAAACAACAATGTTGTTAGAGATAGAGAGACGGAAAGGTATTTGTTGTGTTGCTAGAAATATGAAAACAGAAATAAATAATAAAACATTCCTAAACAAGTTTAAGAACACAAGCCCATAATTAATTTAAACCAATGTTTTTTTCCAATTAAAGGGAAAAAACATGTTCGAAACTTTGTTTAGAAAAGTTAAGAAACATATAAAACACAAAAACCATGTTTTTCTCACAACAATTTCCGGAAATGTTTAAGTGTTTTTCTTGTTTTTTTTTGTGTTTTCCATAAAATACAAAATTCCGGAAACATATAATTATTTTTATTAATATCCGGAAAATACATTTGATTCCGGAAACCTTATATTTTAGTTATATTATTCTTTCCGGAAAATTATTCTTTCCGGAAATTTTATATAGTAATAATTTTTATTAGTTTCCGGAAAATTATTCTTTCCGGAAACCTTATATTTTATTATTATTATTCTTTCCGGAAAATATTAAATTCCGGAAAATACTGAAATATCTAATACTTAAACTAGTATTTATTTCTAAAAATAGTTCTGTAAAAGGTTTCCGTAAAAATAAGGCCTTAATAATATTCAATTAAACTTGCTAATATTTTAGTGAGTTCGTTTACCATTATAACAACCCACAAAACGAAGCATCATCTTCGCCTGGTTCATTTCTTCATGCTTCAGACCATTCCCCGTTAGCTCCTCCACCTCCTCCCATTGTTATTTCACCCCAAGAAGTTGACAATTTAACTATAACGTTGGAAAAGAATCAGCAATGTGCATGTTCTGAATGTGGGAAGCTGTTCAACTCTGTTTGGTACTTAAAACAGGTATATAATAAATATTTTATAAATTACTTCTAAATCCGGAAAGAGTACTGAAAAATAATTATAAAGGAATTATAGATGAAATACATATACCGGAAATTACATTATTATTTGTGGGCTTCCGGAAATTATAGATCGAGTCATTTTCCGGAAAGTATTGAAATTATTATTACGTTTACTTGAAAATAGACATTGATTCCGGAAAAGTTTAAAGAAAAAATTTACCCCGGAAAGTATGAATATATTTCTTCCGGAATTCATATTCCGGAAATTAACCTCCGGAATATATATTCTGGTCAGTTCATGATAACAAATTAAAGAAGCTATCCGGAAAAACACGCAAAAAGATAAATTTATTCCGGAAAATATTTTCAGCATGCAGTTAAACACAGTAATGATAGGCCATTTAAATGCCGGTTTTGTATGAAGGTAAATAATAAATAAAATTAAAATTCAAATAAATACCGTATTTCCTGAAATAGTACTCCCCCCTGAATTAGCACTCCCCCCTTAAATAGTACTCCCCTTTAGAGGAGGGTTGAAAAATAGTACTCCCCCCTGAATTAGTACTCCCCCTAAAATAGCACTCCCCCCTAAAAATTTTTCTCCTATATTTGAAAAAATAAAAAGAGACTCATTGAATTATTTTATTTATTCTAAGTAGCGTTGTCGGTTTCACTTGATTCTCCGATAAACAAAACCGGAAAGCCTTCGGTTAACCGAAAACGAACTGAAATTTTAACCTAAAATTTTTCGGAGATTAAAGAAATACAATCCGGTTAATTGGTGGGGTAAAAGTGGATTTTGGGGGATATAAAGGGATTGATATCTGATGATAAAATGGGTTCTGGATTGATCAAGTAGGATTTAAAAGATATCATTGGATTAAGGTTTGATGAAGGGATTTGAGGGGAATACACACAAGATTAGTTAACCCTATGAGATTAGTTAATAGAGGGATACACACGAGACTAGTTAACCCCCTGATAAATTCCTAGACAGAGATATTTCCACTATATCCCAAAAAATTAATTGATAATCATTTTATTAATATCATTTTATTATTATTGATAATCATTTTATTATATTTTAATATCAACTTTATCCCCTCAAATCTCACGATATCGCTTTTAATCAAAAATTACCTGGCATCCCTACTAATCCGCTAAAACGTCAATATCCTTCTCAATCCTGATAATTTTTTCGACATCCAACTTAATCTATCGATATCTCTTAATCGCTTAAAATCCCATTATACCCCTGGATATCACTCCAAATCCACTAATATCCTTTTTGCTTTCCCTCAATAACCCTATTTTAAGTCACTTGTGTTTAAAAGTCTCGCAAGTTGCTCAATTTTATACTAATTTGGAATCCACATTTCTTGAAAATCCAAATTTGGATCCGGCATTTTTCAAATTACGAACTCTAATTGATTTAAACATTTAAAATTTTGAGACAAATTTTCCTAAGATAAATCATGGAGGTAGGTTGAAAAATAATACTCCCCCCTGAATTAGTACTCCCCCCTTAAATAGTACTCCCCTTTGGAGGAGGGTTGAAAAATAGTACTCCCGGGAGTACTATTTTAGGAAATACGGTATATGTAGTTTAAAAAAATTAAATATTTTTAGACCTACAAATTTCGTTCAAATCTGTACCAACACAAATGCCCCGAACGGAATCGTCTTTTAGTTGCTGGCGAGTTCAATATGGTTGGACATCCGTTAGTAATTTTCATATCAGTCAATATCTGTCTAATTTACAGATACCGACGTCGAGCATATACTCGATCAGCAGACAAGAAAAAATTGAAAGAGCATAAAATACAAATGTTGCAAAATCAGAAACAACAATTTAATAATGATAAGCAACTTAATGGGGGTAAATAATAAATTTTAATTATGTAATTGGTAGATATTCTCAAAGACCATCCTCATATACCTAAAAGTAATAAATCCTTTAAATAGTACTCACCAGAATTTAAAAAATGTTAGCAAGTCCGCAATTGAATTTAGAAATACGCAATTAAATTTAATGGTCGGTCATGCCCTTTCCGAACTAATAAAAACATATAGACAAGTCTGAACAGCCCTAAACAGGACCGAACAGCCCTAGACAAGTCTGAACAGCCCTAGACAGGACCGAACAGCCCTAGACAGGACCGAAAAGCCCTAGACAAGGAACAGCTCTAGACAGGACCGAAAAGCCCTAGACAAGGAACAGCTCTAGACAGGACCGAAAAGCCCTAGACAAGTCCGAACCTTCACTTAATTTATATTTTTATCATCAAATTTTCTTTTAACTTTTTTAAATTAAATCAGTCAATCACCAACAATCTCCAAATCCTACAATCTCAATAAATACTACCCCAACACCTTCATCCACCTTTGGCAAGGAGTTGTATTCTCCACAGCATGTTTCAGGGCAACAAAAGTATCCATCAGGGATCAAAAGTGAAGAAAATGGGCTTTTAATGATGGGTAATGGAATGGGGAAAAATGGAAATTTGAATGGAACATATACAAATTATTTGGCACAACAAGGAGTGGTGTTTATGAATGATAATTGCTCCCCAAGTGTTAATAGCAGTTCAAACTTGGCAACAAATAAACCATCCTTTATGGGTGAATTAAATGGGCAATATGAAGATAATGGATTTAATAATAAAAGTGAATCTATTGAGGAAAATAGAACATTATCGACGGAAGTCTTGGAGGAATATTTACACAAAAATAGACACAGGGTAGAGAGAATTTTAATTTAGGAATTAAGGGACATCTGAAATGTATTGTAAGAAGAAATTTAACACTGTAAACAGCGTAGAGCAGAGGTTTCCTGTTACGGAACCACAGAAGCGTCATAGGCTATTTATTCAGGTGTTTAACTGCCGAAAGTGCAAGCATGGAAATATAAGAAATCTCTAAATGTTTTCCTGGTTCCATGGCCGCGGTTTTAGGTTACCGAATCATGGAGATACCTACTAAAACTCGAATCATGGAGAAAAACTGTCGTGCTTTTAAAACCAGGAAATCACTAAATGGAAGGACGACTAACTGTCACATTCACAATTACTGTATAGAAATCCCGACACGTAACAGCTAAAATTTATTTATTAATCCTATTTACACCCAATCCAGACATACATATCTCCACTAAACAAAAAAATTTTTATCCACCTCATTCATAAAATAAAATTGGAAAAGAATTGCCTTATTTATTCAGGTGTTTAACTGTCGAAAGTGCAAGCTTTACTTCCCTAGCCGCGAATATTTTGGCAGACATATGGCTTATCACAACGAATTGGACACTTATAAATTTCACTGTGAAAAGCAAGATTTAGCCATTTAAAAATTAAAAAAAAATTAATTTGTTTAATTAGATGCACTGAACGTTTCCACACGGAACAGGATTTACAGACACACCTCTTACAACATGCAGATCATTCTCCCCATAATTGTAGAAATTGTAATGGGATATTCAGGTGAAATAAAATTTAAAATAATAATTGAATAACTAATTTTAAATTAATTTTTATTTGAAGATCGGCATTAGCACTGAGGCGGCATAAAGACAACTGGCCCCAGTGCCATTCTCCTCCTATCGGAATGGTATTATTTAATAAAGTCGAATTTTACCTTAAGATACGCACACGTACTAAATATAATAAGTGGAATTTTAATCAGGGAGTAAACCATGGATATCAGAGTTCAAATTTGAAAAATGCCGGATCCGGTTTCCGGATCTTCAAATTTTTTTATTATCTGGACCGGACTTTCAGAATCAAAATCCGGAAAATCCGGACCCAGATCCTATCCGCATTTAAACTCTAATGTATATTCATACAAGGGGTTAATCCTTCCTCAATTTTATTTCACTTCTATTGGTAGCTTAAAGGATAATTAGGAAGAAGGTAATATATAGGTATAATATTTGGGGGTATAATAATATAGGTATAATATTTATCAATTAGTAATAGCAGCCTCCATAAAAATAATATACATATCAAAATGTTAACTTAATTTATTTTTAAGCACCTCCCTTTCTTTGTCAATCCTATAGATCAATTTTCCTTTGTTGGTAGTGATTTAAATGAATTTGTTGAGCAAAGTGATAATGAGGAGGATAGCGATGAGTACCAACAAAAATCTCGTTATGAGACACTTAGATCAGCAAAAAATGATGGGGTTTTAACAAGGAAAACAACGCAGGATTCTGGCTATCATGGATCTGACACTCACAGTCCTGCTGGGTGAGGAGGAATTTTATTTTTATTTTTGGGGCTTAATCAAACAATCAATTGATTAAAAAATTATTTTTTAATAATTTTTAGAAGCCATTCTCCAATTGACGATAGCTCCGGTTCCTTCCCTTCGTCTTCTCATTCGTTTGATTTTAACCAAAAAATTTCTGTCAAAAACGATTTATCCGATTTTGGAGGATTTGCCTCCGTTGGAGAAGTTTATTCGTCTACTAATTACAATGAGAGACCAGTCAAAAACGGGGGAGCAAAAATACTATGAGTATGTATTGCAACAGAATATTTTCTATAAAAATTATGGTAGGTTTAAAATTACACGTATACGCATTTTCCGGAAAATATTCCAATTAGAATTGTGTTTCATAAAATTCCGGAAAATAATTTTTATAAACTTTTGTATTTTCCGGAAACGATTTATTTACCCATTTTTTCCGGAAATCATTAGTTACTAATTTTTTGTATTTTCGTGAAAATATTATTTAAATATGTTTTTCCGAAAATTGTTAGTTAATAATTCATGTATTTTTCCGGAATCTATTTATTTAACCACGTTTTTCCGGAAATTATTAGTTAATAGCTCTTGTATTTTCCGGAAACTATTACTCTATTCATAAAATACACTATTCCGGCGCTATTTTTAATAATCTTTCCGGAACTAGGAAATTTTCGGAAAATAATTTTTATAAACTTTTGTATTTTCCGGAATCTATTTAGGTATTTAACCATGTCTTTCCGGAAATTATTGGTTACTAACTTTTGTATTTTCCGAAAATTA